AATTTCATATCAAGACTCGATCAAGCAGTTTTATTAAATCTAAGTCCGTCATATCTTGAAAAATGTTTTTTTTTTGATTTTTAAAATATTTAATTCAGTTAAAAATGGTTAATATCCATTTGCAAAAATTGAAATTTTCTTTTTTATTTTCCATTGCTGCCTTTTGCAGTTGAAATGTAGGTTACTTATGTTCAGAAAAATAAACTTCACTAATTCCTGCTTTTGAAAAGGTTAAAGTTGCAGTGCAAACCAATTCTTTTAATTTGAAATAATTTTATATTCAACATAAAACCATTGAATGTTTAAACTTAACTTTAAGTAATTATTGCCTTCACCTCTCTGAGCAAGTCGCCCGCACTCATTAATTATGTTAACTTGGCATATCACGATATTCTCTACTATTGACGGCACAACATAAATATTTCAGAATAAAATAAATTTATGTTTAATAACTACAATATTAAAACTAAAATCAAAATAAAATAAATTTAAAATTTATATACTCAGAAGTTTACAATATAACGATTTTCAATAAATTTTTTATTTTATAGTAAATATTAAAAAAATCGTCTTCAAGAAATGTAGTGAGAAAATAGTATTTATATTATAAGATGATAACATAAGCATTTTATGTATCACATTACTTACTTACTTACTTAGTTGGCCATTACAGACGTGGGCTTAGTTGCTTTCTGAAGCCAGTTGGAAATACCGAACGCCCCAAATCGTTGGTCACCTGGTCCTGATCCTACCGAATCAAATACGTTTATAGCCGAAACACTTTCTTCCATTCGCACGACATGACCAAGCCAACGTAGCCGCTGAATTTTTATGCGCCTAGCTATGTCAATGTAGCGTTATAGCTCATACAGCTCATCGTACCATTTAATTCAATACTCGTCGCGAACGCGTAAGGGACCATAGATCTTTCGAAGGATTTTTCTCTCGAATGCTACTAACGCCTTCTCATCACTGTTGGTAATTGTCCAATCTTCTGCACAATACAGCAGGACTGGCATGATAAGAGATTTGTAAAGCGTGATTTTTGTTTGTTGAGAGAGGACTTTATTTCTCTATTGCTTACTTAGCCCGATTCTTCGTTGAATCTCTAGGCTGACGTCATTTTTGGTGTTAGAGCCATTTAAATAAGGCTGAATACTAAAAAAAGAGTGATGTAGAGGTTTGCTGAGATTCGCAGGGAATCAACTACTACGAGCTGCTCCTCTACGCCAAAACTCTCAACTTAAAAGTATACTGTCAACAATCGGACCTGTACTGTCTGAAGGAAGCAATCGTACAGAAACGACCAGTTTGAAGCAATAGGAGTTGTATTCTATCAGGATAATGCCAGGCCACACACATTGATGATAACTTGCTATAAGCGCCGGGAGCTTAGTTATGAAGCTCTTATGCAACCACCTTATAGTCCAGACCTATTACCTGTGTGCACTGATTACCATCTGTTCCTGTCCTTGACGAACTATTTTTCTGGTGATCGTTCGAAATTCGCTTTAAGAGAGGCTTGTGAAAATCGATTGGTTCAATTTTTTGCCAATAAGACGAGGACTTTTGTGAGAGAGACATGATGAATTTATGTTGCCTTACATTGAAACTGACAAGTTATCATACAAAACGGTGCATATTTGACCTAAATCGGATCAATCTAACTAAATTAGTCATAAAATAGAATTAGATAGAGTCGCTGATGTATTGAATAAAATCACAAATTTTTAACACACTTAAGTAGAAAACAAACGGCATTATTGCCGTATAAATCCGCGTCAGAAATACTCTTTTTTGTATTATTTGCTATAAATAGCTAATACCATCAATATCTAGTAAATACCTATAAAATCACAAATTGCTTAGTTTCTCCTATTAACTAATTCCAAGCGATTTACCTGAATTTTTGCGGTTAAATGAAGTTATTCCTCTTGTCTACTGCTACTGGTGCCAGACCGTAATCCATTGGTGTTTCGTTTAAAGTGCATGACATGCAACATCATCATTATTCACCAGCATCGCTCGCTAATGTCAATAAAGAGGTAAACTGTGTTTAGTGTCCATGGTTTGTCATCATGATCATGGTCATGTCAGTGCATAATTTACTTAAGCCAACATGTTGATTGAATGGAAAGAAAAATGTGAAAAGACAATAAAATTGTATTTAAGAAAAGTTATAAATGCACATCATTATCACATATCCTAGTGACATTTAATGCCTAATGAACTGATCATTTTGGCACAGAAATGACGTTATAGAAAAGCATTTAAGTCACAATTCACAATGACCTCCAGTTAAATCGCAATAACGTTGGTCAATGTCACGCACGTTGAGAGTCAATACTTGGTCATTCATTTCTCATGTTTATTCATAAATATACGGTGAGTCTAAGATTGTGGGTCATAAGCCATTTTTGTGTGATCAGTTATTGTACGTTCTTCCTTTAAAGATATGCGTCGCTACATACTTAAGAATTCATGTTGTGAGAAGTGTATATTGGCCTAAACCGGTGTTCACACTATAATATGGTAAATTTATTGCTACTGTCGCGAGTATGTCATTTAAGGCCTTGTACTTAATCTTAGAGCATTACTAATATTAACGATAAAATTTGACTTCTAATGATATTAGCTTATCACAGTTTATTATTATTTATTATTATTTTCAGTCAAGGTACTTGATATATTTACCAAAACAACCAACGATAACATACTTTCACAATTTTTTATCCAAAATTATTTCTAAATTAGCAATAATAGTCACGTTTTCGAGATTTTTAAACCAATATTGGGTCTTCATTATATTTCATTAAAGGTTATAGGTCTATAGCAAAGCTTTCTCCAATATGTCAAATTATAATTTTTAAAACTAATAATTGGTCGGCGAATCTTTTACCATTGAGAGAGTTTTGCAGCATCCAAAAGAAATGGTAGTGCATGGTTGGAGCTATACGGTGAAGATATCAAATCCTGTCACATAATTTTTATCCATTTATTCCTAGTCATTAAGGATGTATGCAACCTGGCAGTACAATGATTGGGGACAACATCGTCTGTGTTAGACAATTTTGGTTATGTTAACTTAATTATTTCGTTCAAACGATCTAAGTGCGATTTATAGATCACCGAAAACTCGTAATAGACAATCACATTTTAATTCCACCAAATACTCAACATATTCTTCTTTGTCATCGATCTAGATTTTGTAGTCGGTTGTGTTGTGAACTTTAAAAAAAATATTATTTAGTACATACTCTCCCCCCTAGCGCAAAGTTGTCAACGTCAATCATATATGTATATACCTTTTTTGTCAGAATAAAAGGAATTATCTTGAGGCTTTTAAAAAATGGTTATATCAAGGAATCAAGACTGAATTCAAAAATTAAACATACTATCAAGGTTTATTATAAAAAATCTGTAATAAATTTTTGCTACAAATATATGTATCCTTTTTTTCAATAGGTGGAAAGCCCACGGTGCTTGACTTAAAACCATTACATCCACGTATTAGGAATTAATATAGAAGATTTCCACGCAACGTAGAAACTTAATGCCACTAATTAAGAGCAGAGATATGGACAAGAGGCTCAAGACCTAGTAGGTTTATCAAACCCAAAATCAACAGGTAGATGGGTAGTAGATGGATGATGTTTGTGCCACTATTAACACGTTCATTATCCTTTAAATAATGCTAATCAAAAATTCACTTCAGCATCTGAACATGCAGTCCAGACTATTTCCAAAAATAATATGTATCTCAATTTATAATTATACAGAATTAAAAAATAAATGTGATAATTAATTCATTTTTCATTTTAGTGGAATCACGTTTATTGGCATTTTCTTAGCTTATCATTCGTTAACAAGTTATTCAGCAATGGTGCACAGAATCAGCAAAAGCTTGTTAAGGAAAATCACAGAAGGGTTAACCGAAATAACCATTAAAAAGTGCAATCGTTGCATTTTAGTGCAACAATTGAGAAATTTCAAGATAAGCGTGCAGTAAAATTCAAATGCTTGGAAAATGTACAAAAAGCAGAAAAATTCTGCTATTATCAGTGCCGTAACCAAGTGCATAATAATGACATTGAATCCATTCCACAGAATCAGCTACACCGATCCAATTTCACATGTCAATTTGTGCAAGTAAAAACTGTTCCAGCTAGTAATATGGAGCACTCGCTCGCTCCTCTACATTTTATCAGTTACCAAAAACCAATGTGGAAATGTGTTTATATGGGAATGATGCCAATGACGATGACAATGCGAATAGCAGCAACGAGAATGGAAATGGGAATGGGAATGGTAATGAGTGTAACCTGTGCCAGCAGTTTTCAAAAGAACCATATCAGTTTATATTGGCCATTTATGAGAGAACAAAAATATAAACAAAAACTGCAAGCAAGTATCTATTTAACGTAATGTATATATATATTTTTTTTATTTTTTTTTTGTCAGATTACTGCAAAACGGAAGTTGTAAAAAGCAATTGTTGCTCTACTGCAGACATATTACAAAATCATAATCTAAATGCAAATACAAGCAAAAATTACCAGCAACTGGCAGCAAGCAACTACAGTTGTTGCTTAGTAAGAGCAACATTTGCTATTTGAAGTATATTTTTATGTTATCTCTACTAGAACCAACACTGGTGAGCAAAACATTGAAAACATGTTAGATACTCAAAGCTGATAAGTGTAGACTGTGATGAGCATCTTTGAAATACTTTGCAAGAAAACAAGTTTTAATATTATTGTCGATGTTAATTATGTGAGATATTCACGCTGATAACTTTAAGGGGAATCCCAATAATCTTATGAATCATTTATACAGTCAAAACTTCCTATATGTACATTTTATTTATGTAAAGTACAGAGTATATTCTTCACTAAAAAATACTTTTTTCTTTAGTTTTAAATAAAAACCCGAAATGAGCAGAAAAATGTTTAAAATAAATATTTTTTATAAATTTTAATCAGTTTTAATTTGCAATTCATCGAAGCAGCAACACTCAACAAACTGAAAAGATGCGAAATTCATTGATAATCTTATCAATTTTAAAAATTATTGCTGTTTTCGCTAACGAAAACTGTATTTTTAGCACTGAACCTACGGTGTGTATAATATAATATAAATATATTTAATAATAAAAATAATTATATACTTTGTAATTGAAATATTTTTATTATCTTTAGAATCAGAGTACTTCATTTTTCTTCGATGATACCCTAGTAAAAAACGTGGGACTGCAAATTGAGTTACTAAACGCGTCGAATGAGAATTTACGTTTACGCTTGGATGCCATAAATATGCGGTGAGTTAAAATAAAAAAAGTATCTTAATTTTATACAGAAATATTATATATATTGGTTGCTATAAAAAGTTTATTTTATTATTAAATATTTAAAAATTAAATAATCTGCAATATAAATGCAGAAAATGTAGAGCTAAAGCTAATTTCTCAGTGCATATTTATTTCATGATTTTATTGTATATTAACTCATATAAAATGTACATATATACATAAACGTATAGAAATAAAGTATAACAAACATCTGTTAAGTTTAAATCTTTATCTTATATGGCATTTACACTGGCCTCAAATGGCTCATTTCAGGCACAAATCAAAAATGAGAAGCAAACGACATACTTTTGCATACAAAATCTTAAGCGAAAATGGGATCCATTGCATCTCATTATGTATAAATGATTTCCAACGAGGTTAGAATGTGTTCCAAATATGTTCCAAATGCATAAAAGCTTTTCATGGCATTTTGACAGTTTGAGGAAGCTGTTTTTGACATATTTACAAAAAAAGGTAAACAAATGTTGGGTGGTTGCATTTCCTTGAAAACGATGCACCTCTTTTTGGAACTTCTACTTCCCAAAACTAAATTAATCGAAGCTGAAAATAAGTTTTCAGTTTGTATTGTAAGGTTTGAAGGTATATTTAAACTTCATACGACATTTTTTTGGCCTCGGCCAAAGATCAAATCAATAAGCAAGTTGAAAAATCAGCTGTATAAAATGAGAAGAAATGAATTAAAACGAATGTAAACACTTTCAAATGACTCATTTGAAATGAGTCATTTTCGGCCAATGTAAACGCCATATTAGACTTAAATCAAAATTACATTTCTTAAGTATGCCATTTATACTTACGATCTGTTTGGGGTACAGTACATATGTTATTAACGCTTAACCATATATAAAACAACGATAAGTCCGTATGATGATCAACAAAATAACGATTTTTTAATAAAACTTGACAACTTTATTTATTCAATACAATGATTCCTGCGTTTGTCTAATATTCGACACCGGTCTTGTGGAATAAATATGGCTTAAAAATTCTTTAAAAAAATTAAAAGCCAAATGTTTATAAACCCGGAGTTAATTTCTGCAAAGATCAAAATGTTTACGTGGTGATAGATGTCCAAAGCATGCTTAACATTTGGAGCGATCACTTCTCTAACCTATTAAATACTTAATAATACCAAAACTTTCAACCATTTTTTTAGATTATTTTAACAGGTATAAAAAAATATAATTATAATAAATGAATATATTTTTTACAGCATAGAAGCACAAACAGTATTATTAGCTGAACTGAATTCCAAAATAGAAAGCCAACCAATTTGGGGTAGGGAAAGAGGTAAATTATATATTATATAAAAATAAATTTTTTTTCTAAAAAAATATTTATAAGATCCTCCTATAGATATACGTTTTGGTGTTGATTCTACAGAAGACAACAATAAAAACAGCCACAACAATAAGTTTAAAAATATAACTTGGTAAGACTTACAGAACATATTTATATATATTGTATATAGTATCTTTGATCATTTCTAACAAAAACAAAAAACAACTCACAAATTAGTGCGCCAAAATTGCCCAGTAGTTGCAGTGAAGCTGCCGCGATTACAAGGAAAAGTGGACTCTACACCATCCAAGTAGACAATTTTGGTCTTAAACCATTTTTGGTTAATTGTGACGAAACTGAAAAAGATGGTGGTTGGCTCTTAATACAAAGACGTATAGATGGTTCCATTGACTTTGAACGCAATTGGGCGGCATTCAAAGAGGGTTTCGGTAATTTAGATGGTGAATTTTTTATTGGTTTGGATAAACTCCATGCATTGACAACAAATTCAGCACAAGAGTTACTTATAGTTATGGAAGATTTCGAAAGTGCAAGTAAATTTGCAAAATACTCATCTTTTGCTATTGGAGATGAAAGTGAAAAATATGCTTTGAAAGTACTTGGTACTTATTCGGGTGATGCTGGTGACTCATTAACACCGCATGCCTCTTTTAAATTCACCACAAAGGATATGGATAACGATAATTGGGATGGTAATTGTGCAGCGCAGTATACGGGGGCTTGGTGGCATAATAAATGTCACGTAAGGTTTGTAAATAAATAACGTTTCTTGAAAGAGACATAAAATAACCATTAATCGCAATCTTTATTTCAGCAATCTTAATGGTAAATATATGCGTGGTGCTTATGGTCAGGAGAAATTTGCTCAAGGGATAGTCTGGCATACCTTCCGCGGATATAATTATGCTCTCAAAACAGTCAAAATGATGATAAGACCACAAAGAAAATAAAATTTGAATGAGAAAAGTGAATACTCAAAATAGTTACTATTAATTAATTGAAATTAGAATTTAATATTAATTTAATTATAATATTTTTAATTTTTCTTTCAGTCATAATAATAATAAGTTTTTAAATAATATGCAATAAATCTTTTTATTTATTTTATTTATTAACACTGTAAAAATCATCATTGTCACCATCATCATATCAACATCAACATTATTAGCATCATCATTATCCGCATCATTATTATCATCATTGTCACCATCATCATCATCATCATTGTCACCATCATCATCATCTTCATCATCACCATCAGCGTTGTCACCATCATCATTATAATCATCCTCATTATCATCATCATCCTTGCTTAGTTATAACAACCCGTTGTGGACCAAAACTTCCTTTGCGGAATATCCATCAATTGTGTTGATCTCCTGATTGGTATGTTCTAATCTATTTCTATTGTATTTAGTCATCGATTCCGCCTTCTTCATCTTGCCCTGTAATAATGTTATTGTGCTTTAATCGACACCAAAGACGGTAGTTTTATTGTTGGTGCAACTCTACTTTATGTCAATATAATAAAATTTTCAAAATATCGGTCTAAAAAATTTGAACTTTTGAATAATATGAATAAACTAATATGAATAATCTAAAAAAAAAACTGGAAGCACCAGATATCGGAACTTATCACACCCATGACGTTTATAGCTTTGATTTATGTTATGAAAATAAACAAACTCAAACCTTAATATGTCAAAAACTAAACCATTTCAGCAGAAAGCGCTATAGGTTTACTAAAACCAATTGTCAAAATCACATGCCCGAATATATTTTTTAGAATTTCTGAGGTCCCTCGGTGATTGTGTTAGTAATAAACCAACAGTATCGAAAAAGATCAAGATTTGTGTTTTTCTTTCCGGTACAAATTGACTACTTGCGTCCTCTTACATATTAACAAAAATTATAATATAAACAGGCAACTCTCATAAAAATGCAAACGACTTAAAATAAAATGTTGCTAATGTTTTGCACGTAACTGTTGAGTGTTGACTCTGTTTTTGTTTGAGTTACCATTTGGAGTTTTAATTTAGCTTTGATGTCGCTTTATTTAGCCCACGTATGCAAACGAATTCGCATTTTGCATTTTAATGTGGTTAATTCTTGCAAGTTCAGTGTTGACAATGTCCATTGGTGGCACATTAATGCAATTATTTTAATTTATATATTGTTTATTGTATCGTTGAGATTTTGTATACGTGCAGTAGTCATATAGCCAAATAATTTTACCGCTGACAGTTGTCATAATTTTATTGCCAATTTAACAGGCGGTAAAATTTAAATATTTAAAGCAACTTCATATCTTTTCGTGTTGTCATACATTTTTGCAATATTAATTTTTTTTAAGGACTAAGCAGTTGCAACGGGATTATAGTAAAAAATTGCATCTCACAGATTATAGGTTATATCCCCTACATTTTCCATGCACAAGTTAACAGTACTTTATAACCCAAGACTACTGTTATAACATCACCCTTAATTGATTCTTTCTTATTGATGCAAAGGTGCCAGAAGCACAGGCTTTCGGTGAGTGAAATTCATTAGCGTTGGTACACAATGCACTTTATGAGTCTAAATAAGCATTGTCACAACGATCCAGATAAACCTGTACCTAACTAATGAAACACCGAGTAAATTTACAGAATTACCAAAGCGAAAAAGTAACCCTTGCGCGCATAGAATATATAAGTGATTCATGGTCTCATTCTAAGACTTAATACGAAATCAGATGAGCTGGTATATGACTAATCGATAGCACTGCCACGCACCACTATACTGTATCTTCCGTTCACCATTCCATTCCATTTAAATTAATTTTATATTTGGTGACCTAGCAGCAATCCTGGTGATGTTTCCGCGCGTACCTACTTTTCCAGTAAAAATTTCATGATAAAATTTGGAACCAAATTAGTAAGGTAGGGAGGAACGAGCAACAAATTTAAACATTTACTATATTCTTTATAAAAATCTGTGCGAATTTGTCAATAAGGTCTGGCTCAAGAAACAGAGTGCACCCATACATTGTAAAAGTGGTCACAATAAGTGGCAAATAGGGTAACTGATGCGGTTCGGAATGAAATTTAGAAGTAAGTTAATAAGTTAAGAATGGATGCAGTTTCCGTGTTTCCCGTATCACTATGGGAAACAGAATCAGGTTAATTGAGCCTAAACTTTTATTTACCTTAGGCGATTAAAGAATGGATGTTAGCACAAAATTTGGAGAATCGATAAGAATCATTAATAAGTGATGTTATTAAATAAATGATTACACACCCATATGAGTTGGAAACGTTGATTCATCAAGTGTACAAAATAACTTCAATTAGTGCCATTAAATAAAAAAAAAAATTCTTTTTGCTTAAATACAGATCTCGTATATTTTGGAAATCGTTTAATGATTTATAAATTTATACAAAAATTTATTATTAAAGAGAAATAATGATTTGTTAAGGTCTCATCTACTCTTGTCTAAAACTACGTTTACTAATTATTCCGCGATATAAATCTGTAAACAAAATAAGAAAAAATGTTATAAACTGTATAAAACATATGCATATTTCTTACAAATATTTCTCGGATATATAATTCTTAATTCCAAATCCTTCCCATCTAATGTCTTGTTTCTATAGGCACGAACAGCTTTCAGCGCGTCATAATAACTCTCAAACGTGACATGAGCAATGCCTAAAACAAAGTTTTGTATATAGCTAAAAATCGCATTAATCTATAATATATTATTACCTATACTTATGCCTTCAGAATCGTAATGCAAACCAGCGTCATATATATAACCAAAAGGTGAAAACAATTCTTTAATGTCTTTGTTGGTCACACTATCCGCAAGATTATAGATCATAATCAAACCTGTCCTAGGCTAAAATACAATGAGAAAAAAATTGACATTTAAATAAAACTAGAAAAGTATATGACAGGACTTATATTTTATGTCTTTTGTTGATTATAATATATACATTAAATTTATATTTTCAGTAATTTACCTTTTTGAAACCACGTTCGAGAAAGTCTTCCCTATAAAAGCGCGTCTTTCGATTAAGATTATATGGTTTACGTTGATAGCGGCGGCGATTAACTCTTAACTTTTTATTCTCCGAAATAATTTGCTCTAGAGTTTTGTATTGAATTCCATTATTTTCTTGAGAAATTATTTCCGTCGAAATTATATGATCGCGTTTTTTTTCAACAATGATTTCGTCCAACTCAATATCCATCTCTTCCTCCATATTCAGTAATACACACGGAGCTATTATCCAAGCAAACACTCGCAACAACAGTCGAAAAGGAAAAGAAATGTTACGTTGTCACCAGTTGGTAAGTCAAAGTTCACAATAGATTATATCATTTTTTAAGTAATACAAGATATGTAACTCCACACCATCAATCAGTTTGATCAAGCAGCTACACGCATTTTTAAACATGAGGCTGATGTTATTGATTTGATTTGAACTACTTCTAAAACAATGATTGGGAACTGTGTTCAAAGGAAACCTTAGTATTTTACAAAAAAGGAGAATACTATATAAAAATAAATTAAAATGTCTTAAAACTATTATTTCAACTTCAGTTATCCTTATAAGATCTGATCAGAAATTATTTTTACAAATATTTTGTTTGGATGGCGGTTTTCTATATATTTTAAAATCATGTTTCATTATAGCCCATATCAATATCAATTTTGCTATAGATTTAAAGGTTAAATAAATAACAATATAAATATAAAAGATTATACAAATATATCTATACAGAGTTAGGCGATTGGAGTGTTGCCAAATACACAGATATACAGGTATTGAAGATTATACAAATGACAGCTGTTTATATTTACTAGCTACCAGAAACATTAGCGTCTAAATTTTACAATACAAAAGTTATTCGATAATAAAATATTAACGCCTAATAATAAAAAAATTCTAACTTGTCGTTGAAAATTGCTTTATTGTTTCTCGAAGTATTCTCCTTTATCATTAATATACTTCGTTGTATGCTTCGGCGACCATACAGTCCACTGCTGTTTACGTTCCGGCTCATACACATATATCCATTATTCGTTACCTCATACAATCTCATATGAGTATATATCTTTTGTAGGACCACCCGTGTACCTCTTGAGCATTTATGCACCAATCGACACGAGTATTTTTTTAAGACTCTGTCAAATGATGGAGGATCCAATAAGAGCAAACCATTCTCAAATGGTCCAATGATCGTGCAATATTTTATATATGCTTAATATTGTGATTTTAGGCCTAATCTTTTGTAAGCAAGTCGCAAAAGAACAAATAAAATAAGCGCTATTTTCGATATCAACTCTGAACAAAACGGAGATTCGGTTAGGCTTGTTTATGCAAAACTCGAAAACTTTTTTTGTCATGATTGTGAACAAAATATAGTTTTTCATGCCCTTTAAGAGTAAAATAATAATTAGGAAAAACGACGTATTTGTTACGATTACTGACAAAACGTAATACGAGTAAATAACGAAATCATTCGTTGATAGTTAACTTAAAATTTCGTTGGTACTGCGAAAAGTCGTTCACAATAGACCAATTTTTAGTTAAGCGATTTCAAAACAGTTGAACTAAACAAGCCAGTAGTGTTGTTGTTTCATATGTTATTTTTAAAATAAGCAGTTGTTCTTTTGTATTGTGCTTACAAAAGAAAAGGTCTACTATTAATATCATCCAATATAATAACCACTAATATGCTTTACTTCAATAATTAAATTGAAGTAAAATTTTTAACAAAATTTTGTAATATTTTACGCTTGTCAACTTTTTGCATAACACAAAAGTATTTGTGATTTGATAGGAGCTAAGGGAAGGCAGGCTCATTATCTTACCCAACGTCTTCATGTAGAGAGTACTTGATCTATGGCACTGCTGAATATATTGTAACATTTATTTGCCTTAAAGTGATTTGTTGCCTGTTCCTTGTGCCTCATACCATAACACAGCCTGGGCACAGCCTTAGCAAATAGAATGATATAGCGCATATCAAATCGAGCAACTGTTGCCACTGGAAACATTTATTCCGCATTGCTGCTCATAAAATGCATTTTCATATGATAAATGTTGACATTGATGCATCTTTTGCCAGTGCGGACGTATTGCAATTCGCGCTATAAAAGTAGTTAAAAAACACTTTTTCCCAACCGCATTGCACCCAACGCACTTTCAAGTTTGTTTCAAGGTTAATGTCAAGTCGATTTACGCCTCATTTATATGCAACAAAAGTGGCAGGGAAGTAGTTGCTTCGTCGTAAATATGCTCCGCACTGCAAGTGTACCGACCGCACGGCAGTAAGGTAGGGCCGGCAGTCGCTGTCTGTCATGTCTGTCATGTCAGTCGTAACTGCTGTCAGAATTTGAGTTGTGACTACGACAAGTCGGCGTCGAATTTTTAATCAGACCTCGGTGATAATTACCAGTAACTCCCAGTGCTGGGTTAATTAAGCGCAGGCATGTGTGTGACGCATGTGGTTCGAAATGCTAAGATGCGCGCTTTCGGTTGAACAACATAAAATTTATTATATTTTTAAGCGTCTTCATATATTTAAATAGTTTGTAAATATTTATTAAAATTCATATAAAATCATTTTAAGCATTACTCGCGGCATCAAAATGCTCATAAATAAATACATTTTGATTTATATTCCACCAAGAAAACAAAAGGAAAAAATACTATTCCAAAGGCAACAACTTTGAATTGCTTAATTTTTTTGGCAACATGACTGAACTTAATTTTTTCTATATATTATACGCAGCCAGTGCGGACGGACATTAAAGTCAGCCACTACCACTTGCTGTTATAGGTAAAAATATTTGAAATCTTTTTTAGCACTCATCTGGATCGGGGCAGCTATTTGTGAATGCAACAGGCTGAAATGTTGAGCAAACCCAATGTCATAAGAGCCAAAAGGCAACTTGTTGTTCACTATTAATTAGCAATGTTATGAGTTTAATGTGTTTTTATATGTGTTCATATATGTTGTGGGCACGTTCACGGGAAGACCAAGACCAGATTGAGGCATGCACAACACAATGTTGCCGAACAATGCAAAGTTTACACTATCAGCAACGGCAACGTTGCAAGGAAAATGACTTCTAGTGGCTTTTCTCTTCGGTCTTTTAAATGGAATAGCGACATTAATTACCAATAACAGCTGAAGCTACAAGTGTTTAATACTGAAAGCTGCAGAAAAATGCTCGTAAACAGGATAGACATAGCCAAGAATAACTATAAAAATAGCTTAATGGTTTGTCCGTCTCAATGAACCGCCAACGTATGTTACATGTTAAGCTATTCCATGTTTTCTGCAGTATCCACTCATAGGAATTTCTCATTTCAAATAGCATTGATTGTTCGGAAAAAGGTTCGCCTTTTAGTTATAAGTGTTTTTAAAAATTTTAATTGAAATTATTAATAACAAATTCACTTCCGTTTGTTATACAAATATTTTTATAAATTAAAAATGAAAAAAGTTGAATAGTTGAAAATATAAAATAAGTAATAACATGTTTCTACAGGTCTCATTTAAGTAGTTTTGTTTATTAAGGCCGCCAATAAATATATTGCACCACACAAAGAGCTTTCATATAAAAATGTGCTCATTATCAATAAACCAACTCGTTTAAGGCGAAAATTGTCGAGTGCAAATAAATTTCCCACAAGGGAAATTACCAAAATTTGAAATATTTGTCATGTGTTTTATATGTAAAATGTAAACAAACAACAGCTGAGCCGCAAAGATAGGCACTGAAGTAGTAAGTATTTAACACAATCTTTGTTTTTATTAATTGAATTTGTCTAATGTTAACCCTTTTCCTAGTTAGTGCATCTTACCACTTTTACTCTCTGATAGCTGAGGTATTTCTGCAGAGTCCCACCCATCTCACTGACTAAATTGTGTATTCCTCATAGGCTTCGTCATTATTCTATGACTGATCTAAGTACCGCGTACCACCCCGTCCGTTTAGTGATTACTCTGTGATTGAATATGTAATTGTTATATAAAATGTGTATAAATGATTGAATAGATCAACAATATATAATGTAATTGTTCCTGTGATTTATTATTAAGTGAAATTTTTTCTTAACAAACAGAAGCTTTCTTAAAACATTCTGACACATAAAATAAGCTCTTTCACATGCAATAAGTAACTTATCACAATGGAAACCATAAAATCTTAATCACTCAAGTCACTTATTAAGTAAGCAGTGGAAGTAGTGATATTATTATGCGCAAGACTATATATAGTCTATATATACTATACTATATATACTATACTATATACTATATATACTATATATATGCAGTAGGAATTATCTAGAATGTCCATGTATTTAACAAGACTAGAATCTTTAAGCTTCTTGTAAATCTTATGAGTGATTAAGACTCCATTCTTGATACTACTTTCTACTTCCTGAATTATGGGGACTCAAAAAATGTCGAACGTGTTCCTGAGAACATATACTTGCTTCCTGACAACACTTGCTGAAATCATCACTATTGATTAAAACTACCTTATATGCGTATGCATTATTTAAATACTTCTAAAATATATCAAATCCTTATAATTCTCTTAAAATTATAAAAAAGCAGATATTTACATAACTTATGTCTGTGTTGTTTTATATACGAAGGGAGGGAGAGAGACAGAGAGAGAAAAAGAGAGAGAGAAAATAAAAAATGCCCAACGCATCGTCACAATAGTGACGTGGCTGATTTGCGTAGACTAAAAAGTCGCCTTCGTAAGCCAGACGAAAAGGCTTGATTTAAGTTTATTTGTTTACCTGTTTAATATAATTTCTGTATCGATATTATCGGTATATGACACGATATTTTCGGATTTCTTTTAATAGCATCATCTTCGTTATGATATTTTCGACGCTTATTTCACTGACTGTTGTTCTAAATGTTGTTCTTTCGGTGTTGCATCTGAAGATGAAGAATCCATTATAGTTATCAAACATGGTCAGAATCCATTATAGTTATCAAACAAGGTCCGATAACATTAGAACGGAAATTCAGAAAATAAATTACCATGGATAGTATACTTTACGTATACTTTCAGTATAAAAGATGAGAAGAAAAGAGGCTCTTTAATAGAATCTACAAGATAGTTGTTTAACAAACCGATATGGGCAACCCAAGTTGCTCCTCATTAAGGCAGAAATCCAATAAAAAGCTTGATAGAGTTAATAACATCTCATCACACTGGGTGTCTTCGTTTCAAAGATATTGTTTTTGCTATGTACTCTGTCTAGTACTGATAAAATATATATTGGTGCATATATTAA